AAGAATTATAAGGCTCTGTGTCGAAAGCTATACATACAAACATTTGCTGTGTATCAGCTTTCATTTTCCCACCAAAATTTTTAGTATATTTTTTGTGCACTTTGTTATTTGTTCTTTGTAGAACGCCCTTATTGGATATTCTATGATAACAGTGCAGGAATTCAGGTAAGTTGCGCACTGATGATGGAAATTATTGATATTTTATCACATTCAAAGGAATCTCTACCGAACGACATAATCTTCCTCTTCAATGGAGGTAGGCGAATGCCTTGTTTTTGCCTGCCTAATCGTTTTTTTTCAAAATTTACGTTGTCCTGAAGTTAATAATTTTTGTCGCTTTTTTTCCGATAGAGCCGTATGAGATGAGGTACATTATATTGTTGAATTGAGGACTGTATCAAGCTGCTAGTCAATACGTGCATGTAGATTAAGTTCCCAAAGTTTCAGCCTTGTAGCTCTTGTAGGTCTAAAGATGAAAAATCGGTACAGACACACACACAGACACACACAGGCACACACACACATACACACGTACGCACACACACACATAAAAACACAGACAACACCTCGACAATTTGTGTTTTTTCACCACAAAGATGCAAAAGAAACGCATAAAATGGGAATCTTTATATAAAAACACAGTAAAAAAACTTGTAGCAAACCACTGATAAGAAGAAAAAAATGCTAAAAAAAAAGCTGTAAATAAAAATATCATTCGTTTCTAAGGGAAACTGTGCGAAGTGCTCTTAGCAGTTACGTTTGAAGGAAGCTTTTTTAGCTGAAGAGAATTTTTTGCAAGCATCGCATGGTTTCATAACGCAACATCCTTGGCGGCATTCTGTGCGAGCTTTCATAAATCTTGAAGGTTCTGGTGCCGGTGGCCGAGAAATTCTTTTTCAGGTACCATTTTTGTTCCCTGTCGATGCCCAAAATTTTAATCTTTGGTCAGAAAACAGCTATTTTTACTTACTTTTACATGTTTTGAGTAACGAGCAATGAAGGCTCTGTTGAGTATTCGTAAATTTTTATGCGTTTTGTGCTGTGTAACAGCAGTACAAAACGCATATTGTTACGGGGTTGTCT